TCAGGAGAGGTTGTGGTGAAGTATCTGAGATCTCTTGTGCCACCTTGGAGGACCTTGAAGACTAATACTGAAACGTAAATCTGCCCTGGTATTCTGTGGGGATCAGTGCAGTGAATGGAGTCTCCGGGCTGGTGTTGCCCTTATCCTAGCAGCATTAAACTAACAACAAATACAGTAGCTCCACACCACTCTGAAAAAGTGCTCTGAATAGAGTCAAGTCTCAGAAAGAGACTTTCTCCTTGATTTGCTCCTTGATCATTGAAAACTTGAAGAAAGATGGAGGTCATCTATTGCAGACGATGCTTGCCAAAAAGAATGACGACTCCAGTTCCTAACAATATGGTAAGAATAACTTAACCAACCCCCTTAGAACATCCTAGAATCATAGAAATGTAGGGCTGGAAGGAACCTTGAGAAGTCAGCAAGTCAGCCCCCTGTGCTCAGGCAGGACCAAGTAAACCTAGACCATCCCTTATAAACTGTCCAACCTGTACCTAAAAAACCACCAATGACAGTGATTCCACAGTCTCCCTTGGAAGCTTATTCCAGTGCGTTACTACCCTTACAGTTAGAAAGTTATTTCTAATAGCTAACCAAAAGCTCCTTGCAGCTGATTAAACCATTACTTCTTGTCCTACTTTCAGTGGACATGAAGAAAAATTGATCACTGTCCTCTTTATAACAGCCCTAACATATTTGAAGACTGTTACCAGGTTCCCCCTCAGTCTTCTTTTCTCAAGAATAAACATGCCCATTTTTTAACCTTTCCTCATAGGCCAGTTTTTCTAAATCTTTTATCTTTTTTGTTGTTTCCCTCTGGACTCTCTCCAATTTGTCTACACGTTTCCTAAAGTGTGGCACCCAGAACTGGACCCAGTAGAGCAGCTCAGGCCTCATCAGTGCTGAGTAAAGCAGGACAATTACCTCCTCTGTCTTACATACCACACGCCTGTTAATACACCCCAGAATGATATTAGCCTTTTTTCCAACTGCATCACATTTTTGACTCATATTCAATTTTCGATCCACCGTAACACCCAGATCTTTTTCTTTCAAACTGTTTGCAACCCCTCCCAGCTTGGTGTCATCTGCAAATTTTATAAGCATACTCTCCATTCCATTTTCCAAGTCATTCATGAAAATATTGAATAGTACCAGACCCAGAACTGACCACCGTGGAACCCCACTAGCTACGCCTACCCAGTTTGCCAGTGAACCATTGATAACTACTCTTTTGAGTATGGTCTTTCAACCAGTTGTGCACCCACCTTATAGTAATTTAGTCTAGACCACATTTCTCTAGTTTGAACGGCATTGTGGGACTGTGTCAAAAAGCCTAACTAAAATCAAGATAAATCATGTCTATTTCTTCTCCCCATCCATTAGGCCAGTAAAGAAGGAAAATAGGTTGGTTTGGCATGATTTGTTCCTGACATATCCATGCCGGCTCTTCCCTACAGTTCTATTGTCCGTTAGGTGCTTACAAACTGATGGTTTAATAATTTTGTTCCAGTATCTTTCCAGGTACCAAAGTTAGGCTAATTGGTCTATAACTCCCCAGGTCCTCTTTGTTCCCCTTTTTAAAAACAAGTACGATATTTGTCTTTCTCCAGTCCTCTGAAACCTCATCTGTCCTCCAGGAGTTCTCAAAGATCATTGCTAATGGTTCCAAAATTGCTTCAGCTACTTCCCTATGTACCCTAGGATGAATTTCATCCACCCCTGCCAACTTGAATCCAACTTATCTCAATATTCTTTAACACGTTCCTTCCCTATTTTGGTTTGTGTTCCTTCCTCCATGTTGTTAATATTAATTGTGTTGAGTATCTGGTCACCATTAATCTCCGGTCGTGCCACCCACTGTGCTCCCCCCTTCCGGGGGACCGGCAGTCCACTGTTCAGCCACTTCCTTTAGTGGCTACTGCAGAAAATTGTCTGGCCACTTCCTTGTGGCCCCCACATCCTTCCCTCAGGGCCTCAACCTCCAAATCCCAGCAGCCAGCCAGGAGCTGTCTCTCACTCCCCCGGTCCCTGCTAGCAGCGCCGCTCCATCCAGCGTGCTGGCAATTCTCTCAGCCTTCCAGAGACACAGATCTTCGTCCCTGGACTCCCAGCAAAGAACTCCCCTCCTCTGCTCTGCAGCTCCCTTTTTATATGGGAATGCTTGACCCTGATTGGCTCCTCCCTTCAGTCCTTCTCTGCTTGCCTCCTACGCAGCCTACGTAGGGTTCTATTAATCTCTTAGAGCCCAGTGTGGGGCAGGCACCCAATCACACTGATATTCTTGTTCCTAAATGTATGCATTTATATTTAGCTGTATTAAAATGCATACTGTTCGCTTGCACCCAGCTTACCAAGCAATCCAGATCACTCTGAATCAGTGACCTGTCCTCTTCATTATTTACCACTCCCCTAATTTTTGTGTCATCTGCAAATTTTATTAGTGATTATTTTATTATTTCTTCCAGATCATTGATAAAAATATTAAATAGTGTAGGGCCAAGAACCGATCCCTGCGGGCGACCCCACTGGAAATAGAACAGCTTGATGACAATTCTCCATTTATAGTTATATTTTGAGACCTATCAGTTAGCCAGTTTATAATCCATTTAATGCGTGCCATGTTAATTTTACATTGTTCTAATTTTTTAATCAAAATGTTGTGCAGTACCAAGTCAAACACCTTACAGAAGTCTACGTTTATGAAATCAACAATTTTGCCTTTATCAACCAAACCAGTAATCTCATAAAAAAAAATTACATTGGCTTGGCAGGATCTATTTTCCAAAACCCATGCTGATTTGCATTAATGACATTAACTCTTTTAATCCTTTATTAATCGAGTCCCATATCAACCGCTCCATTATGTTGCCCGGGATCAATATCAAGTTGAGAGGTCTATAATTAACCAGGTCTCCCGTTTACCCTTTTTAAAAATTGGCACAACATTAGCTTTCTTCCAATCTTCTGGAACCTCCCCAATGCTCTAAGATTTATCAAAAATCAATGTTAATGGTCCAGTGTGCTCCTCAGCCAGATTTTTAAAATTCTTGGATGCAAGTTAAAAATGTCTAAAGATGTTTAAAGATGTTGCACTTTGAAGATGAAAGAAGGAACGCACATTAATATCAATAAACTCCCTGTATTTCACCCTTTCTGCTCAATGGAAGAATAAATGTGGGCAGCCCACTCAGTACATCTGGATTTGAGTGACAGGACTTCCCATTCTCAAGCCTGGGGAGAGCCTTGTGGCCTGTGTGCCAACTCCTTTGAAAGGCAGAAATTCCCCCAACAAACCAATCCAGATGCCCTCAGGATCCAGCAGGCATTTATATCAGGGGTTCTCCATCACATACACTACATTTATGAAACTCACTTTTTCTATTCTTTCAAAGAAAGGGACATTAATTTTCTGGAAGCAGTCCAAGATTTTTAGTTAACAATAAAAAGAGTGTTTTCCTAAGGAAAAGGGAGGGAAAGAGGGGGGGAAAGGAAGGCAAGTATTACTCAACTATTTAGTCTAAGAGTTTGAAAATCAAAAGGATCATTTGACAGATTGATATCAACTCTAATAGAAAACACACCAGTCCTGGGGAAACTCTTCTGCATAAGCCTTCAGTCTGATAGCTTAAACAATTATCCACAATTTGGAATTAATTTTTTTAATTCCCACATCAGTGTGTGTTTTGTAAATGCTTAAGGCACAGATAATTCCGCTAAGAGAAAACCAGAAATTCTAGGCTTATCCAAAACAGACTGAAAATTAGAGGCTATTAACATCATCTTACAAATCACTTCTGAGCACTTCAAAAATTAAAAGTACCTCAGACCACAGGGACTATACAATATCAAAAAGCAAAATGCTGCAAGTCATAAAAAAACCCAAACAGTCTCATTTTTAGAGTGCCTTAGCAGAAATTCTAAAACCAATAAAGTACATTTCCCACTCCAGTGCTAACAAGAAGTATTTGGAAATGAGAAGCCAGAACCTCAGCTAGGGCTTGATCCTGGAAAGGGTAGTTTCTCTGAGGCAGTAGGTGAGGAACTTGTCCAATGTCTATTAAAATCTGGCAGTGACATGACTATATACATATACAGGGATGTTAGATACACAATTCACCCCAACTTGTTTTCTTGCATTTGTTTGCAATGTTCATGCAATTCGTAACATGACTGCTTAAAACATGCTTCAATCTTATCAATTCTGTTTCTAAAAATCATCGCCAACAACCCCACACTAACAAGCCAGTGAACCCATGAGCATCACTGCTATAACAAGGTGGTGCCACCATGACCAACACTACAATACCAAACCAGTGCATCCATGGGCATCCCTACAACAACAAACTGGTGCCTCTATGCCCAGTGCTACCATAATAAACCAGCATACAGTCTGCATGGAGACATTTCACTCTGAGACTAAGGATTCTTATTATTTTTCTGTGGGTAAAACAAAATTTTTAAAACACTGAAAATTCCATTGCCAGTGTCCTTGAAAATACAGCTCTCCATTCCTCTTGGATGACTGTGGCGCCCTCTTTTTAGGCCAGGGAAGGACTGCCCTGCTTAGCCTATCCAGTAGGTAAAGTATTGCCTCCAGCCCTGCTGTGGGAAGGTCACTCCCTGAATGGCTTTCTGTGAGGGATATGGTTTCCAAATGTCCCGGATTGGCCAGGAGTCTACCAGAATCGGCATCAATCTCCTGGTGGCTACTGCAATCAATCCAGGAGATTTTAATAGGTGGTTAAAAGTCCAGTCAGAGGCGCAGTGGGGCTAAGGCAGGCTCCCTACCTGCTCTGACTCTGCGCGGCTCCTGAAAGCAACTGGCATGTTTGGCTAGGCACAGGGGCGGCCAGGGGGTCTCTGTGTACTGCCCCCGACCCGAGCGCCGGCTCCACAGCTCCCATTGGCTGGGAACCAACGGGAGCTGCAGGGGCGGTGCTTGCAGGCAGAGGCAGCACGCAGAGCTGCCTGGCTGCCCCTGAGCCTAGGAGCTGGACATGCCGGTCGCTTCCAGGAGCCACACCAGGTAAGTGCCTCTCACCCTCTCCCGCACCCAGGCCTGAGCGCCCTCCCACACCCAAACCCCCTCCCAGAGCCCACACGCCCTCCTGCACCCCAACCCAGCCCAGAGCCCCCTCCAATATTCTGAACCCCTCGGTCTCACCCCCCAGCTCAGAGCCCACACTCCCTCCCACTCCCCAACCCCCTGCCCCAGCCTGGTGAAAGTGAGTGAAGTGGGGGAGACCGAATGACAGAGGGAGGGGGGATGGAGTGAACGGGGTGGGGCCTTGGAGAAGGGGCAGGACAGGGGCTTGGCCTCAGGGAAGGGGCGGGGAGTGGGGGGCAAGGGTGTTTGGGTTTCTGCAATTAGAAAGCTGGCAACCCTAGTGGGGGAGTAGATTCATGGGCTTTCCTTTCCTTTTGCACAGAGAACTATAAACCAGTATACAGTCCTATCCTGAAGTCGCTACTCAAGCACCATTCCCATGACCTTCAATGAGCGTTTTTGCCTAAGCAAGGACTGAGTGTGGAATAGGGGCCAGGGCCCTGTCGAATGGTAATGGTCCCAAAATGGAGCCATCCTTTTCTGCAACAGAAATCTTGTGTAGTCAAGTATTTTCACAAATAAATTCCATCATATAGTGACTCCATCTCCCTTTGAAGTGACTTCACATCCGGGACATCACATGGCTTCCCCAAGGAAGAAAGCGCAAAATCAGGGTAACAAATTAGGAGTCAGTGCTCATTTTACATTACAGGAAATGCTGTGTTTCAATTGGCTTGGAGGATTGTTTTGTTCCTTTGCTTTGTCTGTTTAGAAAGCAGGTTATTCATAAAAATACTTGGAGGAAAATGCTGACTGCAAGATTTGTTTTGAGATCAGTAAATAAGGATCAGCCATCTAGTAATCTGATTGGCTGTCTGATTCCATGTAGTATAATCAGAAGATTAATGGCTCTGGTAGACATCTACTTTGGAATAAGCAAGAGTAAATGGCTCAGTTGTTTGGAACTAAAAATAGTTAGAAAGTGAAGGTGATAAACCCAGCAAGCTCAGGAGAGTTTGAAAGGAAAGAGAAACAATACACCATATCATTTGGAAAAATGAAAAGATTTGGCTGGATTTCACTTCAGCTCTACTCATAATGAAATTAGCCTCTGTTCAAAGAAGGGATGAACTCTCCATGGATTTTTGCAATTGTTTTTTTGATTGGTCTTTACCAATCTCCAGCACTGGACACTCTTTTAACTCCTCTGTCTTTTTGCAATTCAATGTTATTATTAATTAATTATTTTATTATTATTATTATTATTATTTTAGCACCTAGGAGCCCCAGTCATGGAGCAGGATCCGCTGTGCCAGGCACTGTACAAACACAGAACAAAGTCAATTCCGGGCTCCTGCCTCATGGACCTTACAATCCAGGAATAAGACAAGAGATGATAGGTAGATATTGAGAGGGGAATACAACTACAGATCTGTCTCATCTTACGCTGGGGTTACGTTCCGCGGTCAGCGCGTAAAGCAAAAACCGCGTATAGTCAAAATTACATTGAGTGTAATGGTGGGCGGAATCGCCCACACTACAGGAACAGTATTTAAATTGTTATTTTTCTCTTTTTTTGTTGTTTTTTGTTTGTTTTTGCCAACCGCGTAAAGCTGGATTTGCACATGTTAAATGCGCGTAAGATGCGACAGACCTGTAATACAAAAAACAGTGAGAGGACCATAAAATGCCACCATGCCTAAACAACAGAGTAAAAGGCACTTAGAGATGTTGAGAGCAAAGCCATATTTAGGCTGGACAGAAGCCTGCTGTGGATTTTAACAGTCTGACTGAGTGACCGGGCAAGAAAATGGCAGATGAAATTCAATGTTGATAAATGCAAAGTAATGCACGTTGGAAAAGGTAATCCCAACTCTATATACAAAATTATGAGGGTATAAATTAGCTGTTAGCACTCAAGAAAGAGATCTTGGAGTCATCGTGGATAATTCACTGAAAACATCCGCTCAGTGTGCAGTTAGTCAAAAAAGCTAAGAGAATGTCCGGAACTATTAGGAAAGGGATAGATAATAAAACAGAAAATACCACGATGCTACTATATAAATGCATTGTACGCCCACACTGTGAAAACCGTGTGCAGTTCTGGCTGCCCCCTCTCACAAAAGCTTTATTAGGATGGGAAAAGGTACAGGGAAGGGCAATACAAACGAGTGTATGGAACAGCTTCCATCTGAGAAGAGACTGGGGCCAGGTCTACACTACACGCTCCTTTGGTATAACTCTGTCGCGCAGGAGTGTGAAACGTCCACACCCCTACGTGACGTAGTGACACCGACCTTAACCCGCCGTGTCGACAGCACTAGCCGCTGGGCTCCCATCTTAGAGCTTCAGCAAAGCCGCACAGGTGCACGCAGCGTCCGTAGCGTAGACCTGCCCTGGGACAGTCATGATGTCATGATCCCGTGTCACCATGGCCCGTGGTGATGTCATGG